AGTGGATTCCCATATCATTCAAGTTGAGGTGTTCTGAATGGCTCATCTCTGAGTCCATTCCACTTTAACACTTCAAAGTGATCAACTTGTCGAGAATTAATAATTTAGAAAATACGGATAACAAATCTCTTTGTTAGCAACTCTCTCAAGTCTACTTCCCATGTCATCCAAATTGACGTGCAATCAATGGCTCAGCTTAGAGTCCATGGCACTTTAACACTTTTCAGTGATCAACTCGTCAAGAAGTGTCATTGGTTTTATAAAACTTGAAATGAAATAATGAAACATTGTTGTTACATAAAAGGGTCTACTTTATTTGATTTACAAACTCACCATTTTCGTTATACACTCGAGCTAATAAATTTAGCTACTCATGACGAAAAGTAAATTACAAGAAATATAAATTACGATAAATAAAGACATAAAGTAAATAACGGAAAGTAAATGACGTAATTTAAATGACAGCATATAAAATGCGGAAAGCGTAATAAATAATTAACGTAAATAAAATACAAGTAAGCGTAATAAATAAATGACGGAATATTAAGAACAAGTAAATAAATAAAGCGATTAAAGAGAACTTGAAATTTAGCCAAAAGATTACTAATATTTAGAGAGAAAATGTTCAAGTACTAAGACAAACTACTTGAGAAATGGAAGAGAGGATGATTCTAAAAGCTAAACCCAACATCTCTATTTATACTAGAGATTAGATGAGGGTATTTTAGACAATTCACCATAATATAGTCCTAAATTAACTATTAGTATAATAAAGTAAAACTAAGAGTTTCAAAGTAACTAAATTAGCCAACATGTTACAGCTAATTACCAAATACACAGCTGTCGTACACATAAGAAGTCTTTCAAAAGTCAGCTCTAGTCTTATCGGTCAACTCCTAGTCCTTTTTCTTCTATTTCTCCACCATTAGGTCATGCTGCCACAATTCCTCAGCATCAAACAACTTCAACCTTTCCAAAATAAATCCAGATTAGTCCATTATCTAACAGAAACAGGTCAATCATTCATTTTTGCTTTAAAACAGAGAAAAGAGATAAAATGACTCAAAGTTCGGATATAAATGGAAAATGACCTATCTAAAGGAGAAGAAGATGGTGTTCTAAGCACTAAATAATTAGTGCGTATCAGTCTGCTACAACTGTCAATGCAAATATCACTTTGTAGGTGAGTGCAGGTCCAAGAAGACTGCGACGCCATCTTCAAAAACCCCATCCTCCTTCAAAACCAAAGACGATAAATATCTGAAGCTGAAGGAGAAGTATAAGAAGATGAAGAGTTCTCAGCGAAAAGGCAAAGGTCTTGTTGCTGAAGAACATGATTGGGCTAATTCGTCTGATGAATCATCCTTTGATGAGGAAGATACGGCCTATCTTTGCTTAATGGCCAAGGATGTCAACGAAGAAACTTCTGAGACATCAACCTCTTGTGATCCCTCATCATCCTTTCCTGCTCAGGTAAGTTTCCTGAATGAATCCTCCTCTTCTTCTTCTAGCCTATCAGCGTTAGATACGTTGACGATTGACCTTTACAATGCCTTAAATGGCAAATCTAAAGAAGAAATGTTTAATCTTGATCTTCAAGAACAGTTGAAGATTTTTCATTATAAGATCAAAGAGTCAACTAAGATCGAAGAAGATCTTAATGATCAATTCATTATAAACCAGACCATCACTATTGAATGCGAACAGGCTATAGCTGAGCGTGAGCAAGCTATTGTTGAACTCAAGGCTGAAAAGGCTACCATTAAAGAATGGTGCAAAGCCACTGTCAAAGCCTCTGAGATCATTAACGCTCATATTCCTGCCAAGATTAAGACTGGTCTAGGCTTCTCCTATGATCAGGAAGACAGGGTCACTGACAAGTCCATGCTCAAGTTTGGTACCTTCGTCTCTTCTATTCCTGACACTTCTTCCACTCAGTCTTCTTTTACTGAGAGTCATCTTGGAGGAACTCCTTCGAGTTCAGGTCACAAAGACAAACGTAAGTCCATTGTCATAGCACCTCTTCTTAAGAAGGCTGACAAGTCACATAGATCTACATCCATTCCTTCAGCTTGTGCACCTTCTTCTTCTTCCTCAGGGATCAAGATATCTGAATCTTTTCAGAAATCTAAGTCTAAGATCAAGGTGAATACTTCACCTAAGGACTTCAAATCCTCAGTTGTTCCTCCTATAACAAATGAGAAGGGAATCCTTGGAGCTTGTCCCTCTTCTTCCCTGGTACTTCATGGCCTTAAAGCTAGCTTCAACTATAGGAAATGTAGACACTGTGGTGAAACTACACATATTGCCAGCAAGTGTCCTCCAGCCGCCAAGGCTGGTCCTCTAGCCAAGGGCAAGAAAGTAGCCAACGCTGAGAAATCTACCAAGGCGAAATCTACCACTAAGGTTGTAAGAATAACTAAAGTGAAGAAATCCACTAGAGCCTCCTCTTCAGGCTCAGTGAAGACAACTAATGACACTAAGTCTTCAGTGTCAGGTGTTGTTGTTCCTCTTACCACTGAAGCCTCTTCGTCAGGCTCAGTGAAGACACCTACTGACTCTACTCCTTCAGCGTCAGAGGTTGTTACAAATCCCACTGAATCCTCTTCTGTATGTTCAGTGAAGCCTTCTCCTGACACTGATTCTTCGGTTTCAGTTGATGTTGCCTCTAACACTGTTGGACCCAAATAGAATGGGTACCAAAGCATTTTTAAATCATTTATTTATGCAGGAAGTCAAAGGCATTTGGTATCTCGATAGTGGATGCTCAAGACATATGACTAGTGACAAATCCCTGCTCATCGACTACATGGATGAAAGAGGCCCTTTCGTGACCTTTGGAGGAAACGAAAAAGGATATACCAAAGGTTTTGGTGTATTAACCAATGGTGCAACCACTTTCAGGCGTGTTGCATATGTTGAAGGACTGAAGAACAATTTTCTTAGCATCAGTCAGCTGTGTGACAAAGATTTCACAGTGAAATTTTCTAAGAATCCATGCTACGTCTTTGACAAGGATGATAAGATTGTTCTAACCGGTTATCATCTAGAGAATGTTTACATCATCAACATGGATTATCCTCTTACTAAGAATAGTTATTTTCTCTTTAAAGCTTCGTCAGATATCAAATGGTTGTGGCACAAACAGCTTTCTCATGTTAACTTCAAGACACTCAGTGAGTTGTCTAGAAAGATCTCGTCAATGGACTTCCTCAACACACCTTTGCAAAGGAATCTATTTGCTCAGCATGTAAAAAAGGAAAACAGACAAGAGCTAGCTTCAAGTCCAAGCAAATCTCTTCAGTGACATCTCCACTTTAGCTATTGCACAGGGATCTTTTTGGTCCAGTTAACATACAATCCATTGCTGGAAAGAAATATACCCTCGTCATTATTGATGAGTACTCAAGGTACACTTGGTATTCTTTCTCAGATCCAAAAGTGAAGCACCTGAAGAAATAATATTGTTCATCAAAAGGATAGAAGTACTTAATAATATTAAAGTACAATCTATCAGAAGTGACCATGGWACTGAATTCAAAAACAGTACTATGGATAACTTCTTTGAGGACAAGGGAATCTCTCACAACTTCTCTTCTGTGAGAACTCCTCAGCAATATGGGGTCGCTAAAAGAAGAAGTCGAACAATCATTGAGGTTGCTCGATCACTTCTCAGCGAATCTCATCTTCCCACTCATTTTTGGGCTGAAGCTGTCAATACTGCTTGTTTCACTCAAAATCGGTCACTGATCGTTAAGAGGTTCAAAAAGACAGCTTACGAACTCTTCCATAGCAGAAATCCCTTTCTTAGATTTTTACACATTTTTGGTTGCACGTGTTTTATTCTCAACAACTGTAATCAAGTGGGAAAGTTTGATCCCAAAGCTAATGAAGAAATCTTTCTTGGATATTCTTTAGTATCCAAAGCCTTCAGAGTATTCAACAAATATCTAAAACAATAGAAGAATCTATTCATGTCACCTTTGAAGAATCTCAATCAGCTAATTCTAAACCCATCATTAATGATGACTAAGAATTAGAAAACTAAATGTTCTCTCATGCTGGACAACTTGAAGCTTCCTTCAGTAATCTACCCAACGTTGATTCCCCAAAAGCTAATGGTGATCCACTTATCATTCCAGTTGCAGCTAATAACCGAAGCGAATCTTCTTCAGAGATCGTTGTAGTGCCTATTAGTTGCATTCTTCCTTCTACTTCAAACACTAATCAATCAGTGAATGAATTGCCCTCAGCATCTAAACCTCTATCAGTCGCTGAATCTGAGGCTCCTTTAGCAATTACTCTTGTTGCTGAAGAATCTGCAGTTGAAGCCTCATCTTCTGTTCCTGAACATCAATGCTCATATGACAATCCTCTACCAGCTCAGCGATGGACAAAAGACCATCCTATTCATCAATTTCTTGGTGATCCAAGTGCAGGTATTCAGACTCATCGTGGTCTAGATAATATATTTCTCTTTGTCAACTTCCTTTTATTAGTTGAACCCAAAAAAATCAATGATGTTATCTCAGACCCTAGTTGGGTCATTGCCATACAAGAGTAGCTCATTGAGTTTGATAGGAACAAAGTCTGGTACCTTGTCCCACATCCGTCTGACAAAACTATGAAGGCACCAAATAGGTTTATCGCAATAAGTTGGATCAACAAGGTGTGATAACCCGTAACAAGGCTCGTCTTATTACTCAGGGTTATAAACAAGAAGAAGGAATCGATTATGACGAAACCTTCGCACCAGTGGCTAGACTCGAAGCTATTCAATTATGACGAAACCTTCACACTATCTCTGATCCAACTAGCTAGGCTGATGAAGCAAATGCTCAGGTTACCAAGCATGGTGAGTTGATGCAGCAAATAATGGAGCTCCTCCAACGTCGAGTACCAGCTTCTACACCCTCGTTCACAATGATGGACCGCCTCCAGCTGGATCAGACTCTTGAATGCAATCTTCACAAGCTAGACAACTGACCAAGCTTGAAGAGATGGTGGACATCTTAACAAGAACTCTTGATAAATTCTTTGATTATCAAGCTGATGACAAAGAGGGGGAGACAGAATTAGATGTTGTTGTTGCTGTCGTACCCACAACTAAAACTGAAGCTGACGCTCCTAGAGTCGAAGCTAATGAAGTTGAGGCTATTTATGAAACCATCACCTCCCATGAACCTCGTGAAGCTGAGTTTGTTGATGAAGCCGTCAGAGCTGATGTTGAAGCTCGTAATGAAGAACTTTCTATCACCTCTGCAGCTGATGCTCGTGATAAGGAAGATGATGATGAAGACGATGACAATGAAGATGACGATGATTCTCCTACCCTTCCTGACACTGGAAAGGATCTTGGTGGTGATGATGATGAAGACGACGATGATGACTACTTCACTATTTAGTACCAGAAACCCGATAGTGCCGTGAAAGGAGTCTCTCTCAGGGATTCTGCATCCCATGGGGAGAAAGAGAATGAGACTTCCGAGAAGAACTAGAACACCAAATTGAAAGACAAAAGTGTTGCTGAAGAAGGAAATCTCAAGGTACTCTTCAAACTTGTTGTGCCTCTAAGTACTGAATCTTCCAGGTTTGCTATCATTACCTATTTCTGTCAACTATCTTCTATTCTCTCTACTACCTGCGGTCGGCTAGAGGAAAGGGTATCTGAAAACCCAACCTCCAGTGTTCCTACCGACCAGCAGATGTCTCAATTTAAGGAGTCACTAAACCAAACTAAAGTAAAAATCCCTCTTCGTACCTCTAGTTATGGTGAGTTTGAATTCCTGTCTGAAACTGAAAGACTCGACGCACTCAAGGCTCAGGAAGAACTCAATCTTCAACGACAACAGACTGAGGACAACATAAAGCTGGCCAAGACTCTTGCTGCTCAAGTTCGTCCAAAGAAAAAGTTTAAAAAGATGGTGAATGCTGTCAAGGCCCAGGCTAAGTTGTTTTTCATTGCATAAGTTGAACATGAAAAGGCAATGAAGTTGGTCGACCGAGACAGAAAGTGGAGCGAAGATCGTCTGAACAAGAGGATAATTCCTCATCATATTTCAAACGTCACGATTAGTGGACGAATGAAAGATGGTGGACTTCTCGTCTCAATGCCCATCACTAGAGACAACCTTGAAGCTATCACGGAGTATCCTTCCTACCTAGGTCAGTACAGCTATAGTGAATAGTTAGAGATCCGCCAAGCCATTCAGCGCTCAAAGTCAAGGCACAAGATGATAATTGAAGACATACTCAGCGGGTTGATCAAGAAGATGTCAAAATACGTCGTTGTACCTACAAAGTCGTCACTAAAGAAAGGTGGAAGAAGAAGACCTTCAAGTCCTAATAACGGATCAACCCTAACGAATGAATATGAAACAAAGTTCTTCTTAGATAAAGTCCTTAAGGATTCGAAGAAACCATACATCTCAATGTTGAACCTCTCCTTGCCAACGAAGGTTCCTTACATACCCAACACTGTGCACCTAAAGCCTGAGTTAGGATTTATTTTTCTTAACTATGAAGGCGAACAAAGCTTCCAGAGAGTGTCTAAGCTAAATCATTGTCCTATGGAAAATCTTGCCTATCGAATATTGGTTGGACAATCATTTATATGGTGAAATGATAGACCGCAAGATCAGAAGATAATTTCTACGCTGAAAGGAGCTTGGAGAAGAAGTACCTGGCTACATCGACTTCAGCGACCCAGATTAGTTATGAAATTCTGTCTTGTAATTTTGTCTTTCATTGTATGTCTTTTGTATCTATGTCTTTTCTTTCAGTGTACAACTTATATGTAGTAAGTTTAGAAATGTACTTGTTATAACCCGGTTTCAGACAATCTGGGTTAAGGTAAAATTATACGTGATTAATATTTGAATATCTAATGGTATGCATGATAAAATAATATACA